ACACAACGATTGGTTGAGGCAGTCCCCCGTCGTCCTCGCTCGGGGTATGTCTGCCCTCAATTCTAACAAGATAATTGAGACATGTATATAGATAGATATAACCTGTTGATCAATTTTTATACAAGAAGCAAATAGAAATCAAACAAACGAACACAATTGTTGTTGTAGAGACTATTTCTTCTTGCCCCTTGATTCAAGTTGAATAAAGTACTTCGAATGCAGTGAATAAACCTCTGATTGCAGCACTCTCTTTGAACAACCCTCGATCTTCAAAATATGGTCCGGCTGATTTCAGTCACCCACGTGTCGAACCCGAATCTCCCACTCACAATCCTTCGTTTACCATTACTAAACCAACAGAACCTCCAGCTCTTCGATTACCTTCACTCGGATGAATATGTGATGGAACGAATCGTGCAAAAAAAACCCAAAACCTGAGATTCTTGGAGGACAAAACCCTAACGGTTTTATTCAAGAAAAACCTGCCCACTACTCAACCCAAACCAGATAAAACCAATCTTCGGCTTTAGACGTTATCACCTCAAACATGCATAATGCACAACAAAAATGATTATGTGTAATTATTGTGAAATGCTATGAAGAGAATAAAGATGATGAGAACCAAATCGACACGTAATTTCACTTTTCTCGTTTTCTTGGTTATTATGAAATGAAAGAGAAACTCAACTTGTATACCAAACATAACTGACATAACAAACAAAACCAATTCACAAAGACAATTGGCATAATAGAATTTTGACACAAAATAGCGAGCGGTCGACCTATGCAGTAGAAAAGGTCGACCTGAGCTTACCCAAACTCAAGATTATGTAGAAATCAGGACCATGTATCGACCGGAGCATAGCATGCGTCGATGCATAGCATGCAATTTTAGCCAAATGGAAATGATCACAGTATGAGTCGCCCGGATGGTTGACACGAGCCCTCCTGAGACTAATTCATTAAAATGACTTGCTTTGTGAGTCGACTGGAGTAGGTTTTGGGTCGACTCAAAACCCGGAAACAGAAAAAAAATGTCTATTTTCATGCCTTACGACACATTTGATGAAAACTATAGTATGACAAACAACACCAACTTAGTCAACCCTATATGACACACAGATTTGGCCATCTCTATATGCAACAATCGTGATTTTTACGAGCATTTGGATTATGAGAGACAAGACATGCAAACACGACATGGTGACAACGTCCAACATATAATTTTCTATGGAGCTGAGTTTTGACATCATCGAAACAAGCACATCTATATATGAGGCTTTGCCCTCACAACTTTAAGTATACAAGATGATATCATTGGCATAGTCGAAATAAATTATTTCCTGGATTGCTTTTCGACTAGACAACCTTCACAAAGTTTTTTCAAGCATCTCAAAACTTGGTATACCTGTTACCATATCTTGAGTGATCAGTTGATTAAGCGACCTAAAGTTTAGATGACCGAATATCATATGCCACAATCAATTATTCTTGTGGTCGACAACGGTTTTCAGACATTGTACATTAGTCGAACTAATCATGGTCTTAAATTTCCTATTCTTCGACATAGGAGATTTCAAGACCAAGTTATTTTGGATGTCAAAAATTAATAAGGATTCATCTTTCAAAACCACAGAGAACCCCTTTTTGACCAGTTGTCCTACACTTAACAGATTTCACTTCATTCCGACGACATACAATAAATCCTTGATCAAGGCTTTTGGCCCATTACTCCTTTGAATAACTATATTACTAGTACCTTCTGCTTACAACGAGCTATTATCAACAAGTTTGACCTTGCTCTTCTTTGACTCGTAGAAATCTACTAACCATACTTTTCGACCAGTCATGTAATTCAAGCAACCTAAGTCGAGGAACTAGATCTTGGATTCGACATGGTCATCTGCAACTACAGCCATAACCACCATATCATCTAATAATATTTAATTTTATACGGTTTTTTTTAATTTTTTAAATTGATTTGTAAATTTGATTTTGATCGGTTTAGGTTTGAACACACAGAAACATGTGAACGGTGAAATTGATCACTCGGATCGGTCAATCCTTACTAAAGTCTTGTATTAAAAAATTATAACAAACTAATAATAAACTAATATAGTACATTATACTAAAAAAAATTAAATTATATGTATGGAGTTTGATTTGATTTAGTAAGTGTTGATAGTCCAATTTAAATTGTCATTAAATCCGAGTGATTCTCACAAAAATGACATCTAGTAATATTTAATTTTATACTATTTTCAATTTTTTTACATCAATTTACAAATTAATTTTGATCAATTTAAATTTAAATATACAATTTTATGGGGTGAGATTGGTCCCGTTAATCCTTAACGTCAATTCAAATTTTCAAAAACTAAAATAAAATAACGTTTAATACATTTCAAATTTCAAAAATTAAAATACAATAATGTTTGATACAAATGTATTCTATCTAAAAATAGTATCTTTTCTCTAATAATCACACTACATTAATATTCTATCTAGTTTTTAATATTAATATCATTTAATTTTAAGTTTGGAGTCATTATTTTTGGTTTTTTTTTAGTTTCAATTAAATTTACTCGCAAGATCTTTTAAGAAAGGGAAATCACGTTGAACATTTAATTTCATTGAAAAAATCTATAAAGAATCCTAGTTGATTTTTAAAAATATTTTAGGTTGAATTTATTAAGTTTATTTATCTTCACATAAAATAAGATTTGATCAAACATTATATTCATTTAATGTGTCAAAAAAAATTATATTCATTTAATAATATTTTAGATAATAATGAGTTGGAAGATAATTAATAATAATAATAATAATAATAATAATAATATTTATTATTATTATTATTATTATTATTATTATTATTATTATTATTATTATTATTTTATAAAATCTTAATTTTATAAAATAAAAATTGAAGAGAAGTGAGTGCATTTAATTTAGACCAAATAATACTTACAATGACTTGGTTTTTCTAGTGGGGGTGGATTCTTTTTTTTTTCTTTAGTAATATAAATTCCATATAATATTTTATTAAAATGTATTAAAAATATTAAAAACTCACCTTTGAAGTTTGAACTTGTTTAGATGTCTATACTAACTGAAACACTTTTTTCAAAGAATAATTTTATTCAGTACAAAATAATTTGAAGAAAAAATTAATTTTAAATTTAATTTATTTTTTAAGAGATTATAAGATAGTGGTGATAATGAATGGTTAAAATTTATTCTTGCGTTTTTTTATTTTTTTTACGTTTTCTTACTGATAAGTATTTTCCTTTTTTAAATCTAAAAAAAAGATAACTAATTTAAATTTAAATTTTCTTATCTTGCATATAAGTGGAATGAAATTGTTGAATCCAAAATCATATTCATCCGATGAAAATTCCAATAGTTTATGAATTGAATAATATAAAAATTATACAGAAATCAATAAAATAAATAAAAACAAAATAATAAAAATGTTTTTATTAAACTTTCATTTCTCAAAATAAAAACTATATTATAATACAATATTGACAAAATATAAAGTGCACAAGTTAGACAAAAGATAAGAACCTAAAAACTCAAATACTTGTGACAATCGCGAGATCAACTTCAATATCCGATTAACTTGTAAAAATCTTTCATAGCATCCATGTTGTCATTGAAACCAACAACATTTTGAATCTTCTGAAGTTTGAGTCGAGCCAACTCCCTTTGTTTTAGAACTTTAAATTGTCTCCAATTAGATAAACTTTTCTTCACTTCAAGATCATCAATAAATTTTTTATGACCGGTTTGTTGGAATGAAGTATCTTGATCATTAATTTTTTCCTCTTCTCCTTCCGGTTTTGTTACTCTTTTTGCAACTATACTAATCAGTGTTTTCTTCTTGATACATTTTCCTTTGACAAACAATGCTCCATTGACCACTTTTCTTTCACTTGTTCTCTTACATTCTGATGGATGATTCTTTGTTCTCTTACATTCTGATGGATGATTCTTTATGGTTTTCTTGATACATTTTCCTTTGGCAAACAATGAATTTGCCCCGAGTTCAGCATGAGGCACTTTTCTTTGCAACAATTCCTTCTTCAAAGAACTCATGATTGCTTTGCTGTTACCGTGGATGGATTGAGAATTCTGAATTAACTTGAACTAAAGTAACATTTATAGCAACAGCTACTTTATATATTTATACTCTTTTCTTTGGGTCTTGAAAAGACTTTTTTAAGTTTGTTTTCGATCTGAAGTATATTAATGTTTCTCACTCTTTATTTATTACTAAATCTTTATTACAGCAATGTTTCTCACTCTTCATTTATTACTAATTATGTAGTAAATCTTTTTTTTTTTTGATTTGATTTTCTAGTATATCTCCCATAAATGACTTTAAACTTTCTATATTTAAAGTAAGGTTTGAAATTCCAACCATACCAGAATAAAATTCCACATTCAATTCAATTCAATTCAATTTAATCCCAACACACACTCACTCAAAACAACAATCGGCAATCTACAACTCAAAATGCATATCCAAAGACTAAACACAAACAATTAACATTTTGAGAAAAGTTCATAACAATACATTTTCTTCTTCAATCCCTACCAATCAATCAAATACACCCTAAAATTAAAAGGCTTTAACTTGCAACAGATTAAGGATAGCACAAACAATAATCACTTGGAGAAAAAAAGTTCACAAACCTCCAAATTTTATAAGCCCTAAAAACTAAAAGGGTAAACTACATTTTCTACTTCAATCCCTACCAATCAATCAAATACACCCTAAAATTAAAAGGCTTTATCTTTCAACAAATTAACACTTAAAGAAAAGTTCACAAACATAATTCATGTCACAAACCTCCAAATTTCATATTCCCTAAAACTAAAAGTGTAGTAAGTCACATTTCCTTCAAAAAGTTCCAAACTTGCAACAAATTAAGGATACCCAAAAGCATAAACATATAAAAAACAGATATTTCAAACCCTAGAAATCAAATAAATCAAAATGGGGTAAGTATGTAAGTACCACAAATCTTGATAGGGGCTTCAAGTTCAAGCAAATTAGGTTGTTGAAGGAAGATATCTCTAGAAGCAAGACAAAGTTGCTTGATCTCATCCTCAGAGAGCTGAACTTGCTTTCCGGGTCGGGACAATCGGACCTCAGTGAGTCGGTGGATAATGTCATCCAGAACCGCTTCATCAATCCCATGAACTTGTGTTTGTCCTTGTGCACTCATTGATTCCGCTCAACAATAACAACTTCTTCAGTGTTTGAATGAAGAACAGAAGAAGAAGGAAGCAAAAGGGTGAACCAACCAAGAAGAGTGAAGCAAAAGAGGAAAGTATATGGATGTTAGAACTTGTGCTTATTCATTGATGCGATGCAATGCAATATCTAATTAATACAATCAAAAATATGTAGCAGTAGTAGCATCATCACAAACCAACCTAATTCATAGGGCCATCAATCAAATCATATATTAGAACCTGACCCAACCCACCATCCATATACTTTCCTGCGGTTTTGTTCCAACTGCAATAACTTGAAACAACTTGATTCTAACTGCCACACATAAGCTTTCAATTGATCTCAACTATTTTAGAAACCAAGTAAAGATAATGTTTTGACGAGTCAATTATATCAACATGGTTTCGAGCATGTGTAACCTCAAAACAATTAACCATAATAAAACATGATAAATGTATAAAAGTGTTTTTCTCTAGTTCAACAAAAAGAGTGAATATAAAAAAAAACTAAGATATCAAAGAGAAAGAAAGGAGTGACCACTAACCAGTGACATCAGGAACCAAGACACTAGCACATAAGCCAGATAAGCATTGAAAAAACTACTTTCAAACATCAATTATCAAAGACAGGCTTAACTACTTTATGGCATGAAATGGAGAATAATAATAGCTAGAACATATTAGCCCTCACTGACCAGTGACATCAGGAACCAAGACACTAGCACATAAGCCAGATAAGCATTGAAAAAACTACTTTCAAACATCAATTATCAAAGACAGGCTTAACTACTTTATGGCATGAAATGGAGAATAATAATAGCTAGAACATATTAGCCCTCCTACCGCGACTATATCAGTTTAATTTCCACTGTAACTGTCGTGCTTAAGTTTTTCTAGCTACCAAGGCACTAGAACATAAGGTGAGTGTCACACATGTATAACTCAATGTGATTTTCCTGCATCCAGTAGTGGAAATGGGTGGTGACTTCTACACTGAATAGGACAGAATGCAAATGGGGGAAAGAGTACAATGTCACTCCAATTGAAATTACTAACAAACCAAAATGAAAGGAAGTTAAAGACAACATCATATCAAAATAGGTTAACATACTTTTAGAACTTTGCATTCATTTTCTTCCTTAGGACAGAAGAGACAAAACACAAGAACAAAAACATCAGTAGGGAATATGCACTTCCAAAATTGCACAAATGCATGGTAGGAATGAGCATTTAAATCCATTGTACAAAAGCATCAACTTCCAACAATGTTCGAATAAACAATAGTTAGCAGAATCATACCGTGCCTGATACTCAAAAGATTTTCTTGTTCCTTAGACCTACCGGCCTGATGCAAGCCTTAAGACCTGAAAAACCCAAGAACCTAATAGAAATGATGATGATGATATAACTTTGATCACTAGGAAGCCAAAAACACTGAAAATTGTTCACCTGTCTAAATCCTCTCAAGCATTATGCTCTTTAAAGTCCACTCAGTCCAATCCATTGAGGCTGGCTGGCACGCCTGAAAGAAACAAAAACATTAAACATGCTAAATACGAGAAACTACAGAAGTATATTAATAACAAAAACAACAACAACATCAACATCAGTTTATGACTTTGATGCAGCAAACACAGTAAAAGCAGTTTATGACTTGGAACTCTATGCACCATTACATATAAATATTAGAATTCCCAAGCAAAAGACTAGACTCAAAGCATTATCACATCAAAGCTAATTCATTAAGGGCCAGCTGTATCACAATCTATAGGGAGTTTAAGGTAACTAACTTATGTTTAGATATGTTTACCAACAAGTGAGTTGAATAATAAATTTGAGTGTTAAATCATGTTTGGCAGCAAAAGCTACAATTAAAATCAATGAGTCAAAACTCAATTCAAGTTGAGAACTCTCCCATACACACCAAAATCACTCTGGGATACTAAAAGTGAGTTCAAAGATGTAATAAAAGAAGTATTGAAACACCATGAGTTCCTCCTATTAATAGGACTGGTTTCAAGACTTTCCCAATGAATAAACACACATAATTGAATATTTATAACAACTATACAAAAACAGAAAGAATTCACAGATTTACTCCTCATCAAGGCAACAAAACATTCTATAACAAAAGATGCTCTGGATTTGAAGCTCTGCATAAGCTTAATCACCTGCAAATTAGGAACATCGATTTCCGGGTGCTTTGCCAAATTGAAATCTTCCTTAGCGTAACATACACCTTCTGAACTCAACAATTCAAAAAAACAAAAGTAAAATCACACAGCACGCAAACGTATATGAACATGATTGTGATGATTTGTGTTGAATTTACCTTGAAAGAGGTATTTGCAGATTTCTTTGCGATTTTCTTTTCTGATATGATTTGAACAATTAGCACACATGAAGATGTTATGGAATGAAGAGGATGATAAAAGTGTAGAACGGGTAAGAAGTTGATATGGTGACGAGGGAGCGGAGAGACAACGAAAGAGTGCTCTGCCGCAATAAAAACCCTAAAACGAACTCGCTTGTGTTTGTGCTTCTTTCCACAATTATTCATTAATCATTTAGCTTTTATGTTGCATCAAATCAAACACGAGACTTAATTAAGCTAAACTCTTCTGATATCCTAGATTGCAAAATATCATTTTCATATTGATCACAGGGTGAAAATGCTAAGAGTGTATACACAATAAAAGCTCAAATGAAAACAAATATGTTAGAACATTTTGTTTATTATTCATGAAAATAGAAAGAAAATTCTACCGTGTAATTGTCCATTACTTGAAACATTGAGTTTAGTTCTATGAAGGTTTCAGGTTCATCATTAAAGTTGAAATATTTTAAAGTTAGTAAGATCGTTGGAATTGACAAAAATTGAACTAAATTAGAGTCATTCAAATATTAAAATTGTAAATAAAATAAAAGATAAAAAAATATAGATAAATATGAATGAGTTGTAAAAGGGTGAATAATTGATGAAATAATGCATTAAAAATAATAGCAAAACAAAACATATAAAAAATTTAAATAATAAAATAAAACAATTGTGCATATTGATGGGGTTGTCATAAAAACATAATAAAAGTAGTAGAAAAAAAAAGCATTTCTATTACCTGAACCGTTCAAGGTGTGTAGAAGCATCCGACTATTCATACTTTTTCATTTTTTACATGTCTTAGATCAATGATCTTTCTTTCCGCATTTATAGCACATATCATCATGATTTTTCGAGGGACCCTCTTGGATATAAGTACCTCTAACTTGACGATACCGGTTAGTTTGGTCATATATGGGAAATCTATAATTATTCACATAACTTCGTCTACGACCTCAACCATGAAAGTGGTTTCGACCGTGATATCCGCCTCGACTAGGACCCTCAAAACGAGCATAACCTCCACGTTTTTTATTTCGATTATAGCCACCACGCCTTTGATTAAATGTTGTGGCATTTATGGGCGGTTTTTTTTATAAGGAGCTCATTATTTTGTTCTGCTACTAGAAGGGTTGCAACTAAATCAGAATACTCAAAAAATTCTCTCATTATGTATTGTTGTTGCAACAAAACTTGGGATGCATGAAAAGTTGAAAAAGTTTTTTTCCAATTTTTCTTCTTCAAATATAACTATGTCACAAAATTCTAATTGTGCTATAATTTGGTGCATGACAGAGATATATGCAACAATACTTTTATAATTTTAGAACCTTAATTTGTTCCCCTGATCCATTAATGAGGGTAACAAGACTTTTCTCTGATGTCCAAATCTTGCCTTAAGTTTGTCCCACAAAATCTTGGGATCTTTTGCATTTGAATATTATGTTTGTAAACCATTTCAAGGTGGTGTTTGATTATTCGATTTACTTTTGATTTTTTCATAGCCATCTCTTCAAGGTCAACAGCTGACTTTCTTGAAATTTCTCCTTCAAGGATTTTATCAAGTCCCTCACAAGCAAGATACTATATTAAGTTGTTATTCCATGTTATGTAGTTGTCCCCAATTATGCTTAAAATTTTGAAGTGATGTTTAACATTTGACATAATTCTATCTAGAATTCAAAAGATCATAATCAAAATTTAATACATAAACAAAAAAAAAAAGAGTCAGTTTATTCAATAACAACGATTATAAAAACCATGATCATGTATTATTCAAAAACCTCTATTAATAAACCAAGCTAAGACTAGTAATGGTAAAACAATCAATATCATTAACGCTACATAATTTTTACCTAATTCTTCATGCTTGATAATACCGATGAGCAATAAAATAATGACAAGCAGAGTGATGAAAAAAAAATATTTAGTCATTTAAAAGATGTGGATATATTTTTGAGAATGATATGAAATTTGTGAAAAAAGTTGAATTATATATAGATAAATTTGTAAAATGGCTGTTATAGTTACCGTTGGGGAAAAGAAAAAAAAATCATTAAATCAAATTTAAAGTGTGTTAAATATCAACTAGCTAGCTATTACAAGGGTTTAGAGATAATTATAAGGTAAACATATGAGGTTTTAAACCTCCACTAAAAATATAAAAGTTAATAACTGAATATAAAAGTTAGTAACTGAATATAAAAGTTAGTAATTGCATATGAGGCTTTAAACTTCCATTTATAAAAGTTAGTAACTGAATATAAAAATTAGTAACAAAATATAAAAGTTAGGAACTGAATATAAAAGTTACTAACTGCATATGGGGCTTTAAACCTCCATTAAATATAAAAGTTAGTAACTGCATATGAGGCTTTAAACCTCCATTAAATATAAAAGTTAGTAACATAATATAAAAGTTATGAACTGAATATAAAAGTTAGTAACTATATATGGGGCTTTAAACCTCTATTAAATATAAAAGTTTGTAACTAAATATAAAAGTTAGTAACAGAATATAAAAGTTAGGAACTGAGTATAAAAGATAGTAACTGCATATGGAGTTTTAAACCTCCACAGAAAATATATAAAAGTCACGCTTATTATAGAGCACTTGACAAACTGTCAGTTTTCTATAACCATGGTAAATAATAAAAATTATAACAATAATGAAATTAAAGTGATAAGTTTAAAAGATATACCTAGTGTAGTAATAACTTTCGATAGAAACGGCCGTGCTAATAACGTGTTGAGAAAAATCGATTTTGAATATTTGTTAATATTTATGAACTAATATAAGTTACTAAACTAATTGTAACTATTAAACTTAGATAGAAAGATTGAATAAAGGAGAATGATTTACTTGTGCTTTCAAAGTAAATTTTTGGCGTATTTTTACATTGGCCAAAGGTAATCTTTATTCTACTAGAAATATAACTATTACACTAATGTAATAATTGGACTTACTATTTTAACTTTGACAAATTATATATCAATAATAATTTTCCATTACTATTTAGATAAATATTTCTAAATAATAATATTATTTTAATAATAATAATATCATAACAGTTACAACATTTTGTTTATCATTTATGAAAATAGAGAGAAAATTTTACCGTGTAATTGTCCATTACTTGAAACATTGAGTTTAGTTCTAGGAAGTTTTCAGATTAATCATTAAAGTTGAAATATTTTAACGTTGATAAGATGGTTGAAATGGACAAAAAGTTAGAACTATTTGCTAAGAAATTAGTGTCATTCAAATACTATGGATCACACTAGCGGAATACTTGTACCTTCGCAGAGGTATCTGTCGCAGACGCGCGTTTATCTATAAAAAATAATCTCTAACAAAGACAAATTGATTGTTGTTTTGAATAGAATGCCTTGAAACAAAATATAAACGGTTTCTTTATATTCAAGAAACACACAAGGGTTAAGATTAACAAAGAAAACAAGCAAGAAGAACAAGAAAAAACAACAAGGATTGGTTATAAACTGTTATTCTTTCCTTTATCTATCAAACATGATTACAAGTATACAAGAATAACAAATAACCTCTCTCTCTCTCTCTTGAATTAGGATTTTATCTTCCTATGTTTCCTTATACAAGATGATAGACTAACATGCTATTTATAAGAAAAAATAGCACCCTAACCTAATAGGATTTTTAACAATTATCCATTACAAGATAACTTAGGGTACAAGCTAACTTAAAAAATCGGGCTTACAAACAAGACCTAATTCAACATGCTAACAAACCTAGCAATATTGACTAATGCATGTTAAAACAAACTTCGACTATAACATACATTAGTCCGACAACATACTAGCGTTCGATCCAATATCTTACAAATCTCCACCTTGGATCTAACTCTATAACATCAAGAAACTAGATTTTTTTCATGCAGCTTTATCAACTGTGTAAAGTTGAAAAACTTGCAACTGGGCAATGTCTTAGTGATCATATCAGCAACATTATGATCTGTCGAAACCTTCAACACTTGGACTTCTCCGCGCTCGATTACCCCTCTGACGAAATGCAGCCTCACATCAATGTACTTGGTTCGCTCTTGATAGGTTGAATTCTTTGAAAGGTGTATTACACTTTGACTATCACATTTAACAGTGATAACTCGACCTTGAAGTTTCAACTATTTTGCAAAATCTTCAAGTCACAATGCTTTTGTCACAGCTTCAGTTAGGGCAATATATCCCACTTCAGTGGTAGATAAGAAACAACCTTCTGAAGTGTTGCTTTCCAACTGATTGTTGTCCCAAACACAGTGAACACATATCCAGAAATAGATTTTCTAGAATCCATACAACCTGCATAATCAGAGTCGACATATCCTTCAATTGATGCTTTATTATCTTCACCCAAGGCTCCACCATAAATTAGGACTCTAGTTAGAGACCCATTTATGTATCTTATAATCCACTTCAATGCTTTCCAGTGAGCCTTTCCAGGATTCGCCATGTACCTGCTTACAAGACTTACTGCATATGTTATGTCGGGTCTAGTACAGACCATATAATACATTAAAGAACCCATTATATTAGCATATGGAATGCTATTCATATAAGTTCTTTCGAAATCAGTGTTGGGACATTGACCTATACTCAGCTTGAATTAAGGGTTTGTCGGAGTCACAACAGGCTTTGAATTCAACATACCATACTTTTCGAGAATCTTCTATAGGTATGCCTCTTGAGATAAGCATAATTTTGACTGCTTTCTATCTCTTCGGATGTCAATCCCAAGAATCCTGGACGTAGCTCCCAGATCCTTCATGTCAAACTCCTTATTGAGTTCAACCTTCACCCTCATTACATCTTCAACATTGTTGCTTGCTATTAGAATATCATCCACATAAAGCAACAGAATAACAAATGAATTACTAGGTTAAAATCTAAAGTAAACATAGTGGTCGAACTGACTTCTAATGAAACTTATGCATGCCATAAACTTGTCGAATCTCATATTCCACTATCGAGGAGATTGTTTCAGTCCATATAAAG